TTATTTTCAAAAGCCAAAATCAATTATATATAAAATTAAGATATATAAGTGTTATCATGTTGTTACAATATTATATTCAGATGATAATAACATATATAAGAATTATCTTGTTTTTGATTTTTTTATAAACTTATTATATTAATTATTCTAAGTTATCTAAGATAATAACATACTAATCTAATTTTATTTTTTAAATTTCTTTTTTAATTGTAAAATTAGTTATATATAAAAGTTTCATTAAGGGTATAATCGATATTAACCACTCCAACTTTTAACGTGAGAGCTCCATTGCGAAAAATTACTTCGCAAATAATAGTATAGATTATCTTGTTTTTGATTTTTTTATAAACTTATTATATTAATTATTCTAAGTTATCTAAGATAATAACATACTAATCTAATTTTATTTTTTAAATTTCGTTTTTAATTGTAAAATTAGTTATATATAAAAGTTTCATTAAGGGTATAATCGATATTAACCACTCTAACTTTTAACGTGAGAGCTCCATTGCGAAAAATTACTTCGCAAATAATAGTATAGATTAAGGATTTGAATTGGCTGTAATTATTGTTGTTTTTATGCAATCAAGATAAATTAAATAAAAAATAGTAATTTTTTTAATTGATGCGCAAGAACCTTAACATCAATTGTTTTACTACATCTCAATTATCTTAGCTTCAACCTTAGACTCTAAAGAAGAATCAAAATAAAAACAAAAAATTTCTTCATTACTTTCTGTTGTTTGAAGCTCTCATTTTCAATTTAGGTAAACATCGGACTAGGTCTAATAAAGCTTTTGTGTGAAAAAAGTCAAGTTGCTTACCAAAAAGCTAATTAAAAGAAAGGGGAAACAAAACAAATACGACTTCTTCAAAGTCAAAATATCAGATGAACGACGCCGAACCAATCATTACGACCCAGTAACATAATAATTCAATTAATACTATCCGTCATAATCAAACGTGACAAGCACTTCACCCAAAAATATTTTTATAGCATAATGACCTCAATCGTACATTCGCTCATGGAGTTCAAGAGATGAGCCATAGTAATAATATAGCAACAAGAAAAAGTCCCTTCTCTTCGCATCATGACAATCCGAAAGAGTCTACTCCTGCCACTTTATCATGTTATCTACCTATTGTTGCTTGTATTCCATGTCACCGGCCAGCCGCAGCCTGGAACCGTTGGTCCATATGGTCACCAATTAAGACCAAGCCAAGTGCCAGTGGTAATCATTGGGATGCTAATATTTACGCTCTTATTCAGCATGGTCGCTTGCTGCGTTTGCTATAAATACAGAAGCACATCTCCGCCTAGAACAAACTCTGTTACCGATGAAGGTCGTGGAGGAGGAGTAGCGTGGACAAGGAGGACAAGCCGTGGGCTTGAAAAAGATGTCATAATGTCGTTCCCTTCCTTTCTTTACTCAGAAGTTAAAGAGTTAAAGATAGGCAAAGGTGGTGTGGAATGTGCTATCTGCCTTAACGAGTTTGATGATGGGGAAGCGCTGCGTTTGATGCCTTCTTGCAGTCATGCATTTCATGCTGATTGCATCGATGTCTGGCTCTCTTCTCGCTCCACGTGTCCCGTCTGCCGCGATAATCTAGCTCCCAAACCGGGCAATACTCAAAACATTATTTATCAATTTATACAACCACGTACCAATCAAGATATGGATGTTGAAATGGCAAACGCACGAAGAAGTGCATTAGAATCTCCAGATGTACGTTTGTTAGATGGGCTGACAAGGAGCAATAACAACAGAGCAAACAGACTGCCTCGATCGATGTCTACAGGGTCATCACACTGGCAAATAATAGACATATTATTCCCAAGATCTCACTCGACGGGGCATTCTCTTATTCCATTAGGAGAGAATCTAGACAGATTTACACTGCAGTTACCAGGGGAACTAAGGAGAAAGTTGAGCCAGAGGACGTTACCACAAGCCAGAAGTTTAAGGCAAGGCTATAGGAGTGGCAGCGTTGAGAGCCAGAGGAGAGGTATTCCTCATGGACGGGGATACAATCATAGCACCACCTCTCTTTCTTTTTCTTCCTCTCTTCAGTCAGTAAAGGGCAAGGACAAAGAGTTTGGAGAAGGGTCATTTGAACGCCTTAGGCCAGAGATTCCCCTACCTAAATCATTGACTAATTAAATTTTCATACAGACAAGGTTAGGTTATAGATAATTTGGTGTGGCGTAAATAGGAAGCAATACATGCATGTAGTAGGTCTATGTACTAATTAAGTCTGGGGAGAGAAACTACGGTTTGTCTATGGATCCAGGGTTCGAGTATGATTGTAATTTGTATACGAAAGATAACAATCAATCTTGACAAATTATGAACTAGACTCTTATCTGCACTATGCAAATCTGTACTTCTAGATTTTGACTAGCCTTAGAACGGATTATTTTAGATTGTAAACAAATTGTTATACATTATTATGTGTATATATTGAAATTTTGTTTACAAAAATATTATATAACCTATGAATAAGTTTATTTGGGATTATGTACATTCTTATGTAACTCTCTATTAAGTTTGGACATTTTATCAGGACCCAAAAAACTGAACGGAAACCTATCCAAAAATACAAATTCACACTACAAGGGAAGTGAGTATTGATAGTATAATAAGATAGTGTTCTGTAAATGAATGATATTTTTGACGTAGTCCATTGTTTAAGATAGCGTTTGTATATGTTGTAAGTAAAGGTAGCATACAAAAACGCTATAGGCGGAAAAGTTATTTTCACTTCCCGCTAAGTACTTGGTGAAAAACGATGAGAGCTCCCCCCCCCCCCAAATATTTTCATTCTCCCTTTCATTATAATCCGAAAAAGAAAAAGAAAATCTAGGATTTCTCCATCTCCATCTTCATCTTTCCCTCAGCAAAAGCCTTTCTACGATCCTCAACAATCCATATAGAGGAAAATCCGACGCCTCTTGGGTCTGTTAGTGGTCATCATCCTCAACCTCCGTAATTGCTTCCACAAAGCTCGCCGGTTCGGACCTAACAATATCCGACTTCCACAGCTACGTCTACTCGATCTCCGACTCTCATAACAGATTCAAAGAGGCGTCGGGCTTAGCTTCCTGTCTCCGTGAGGTTCCTTCGCTCTACTTCAAGGAGCATTTCGTCGCCCTTTCTCCATCGGCTCTTGTCTCTGTAATCTTTCTCGCTCCCTTAAAATTTTTGTTGGTTTTGTGGTTTCTCCAAGGATTTGCTTTGTTTATTGACTCTCTTATGAGTTTTCAGACTTCCTCTCTTCTCTATGGCTTTCGAGCTCCTCAGACAAATGACAAACCTTGTTTGAATCTTTTGACAATCGATATGAGAGATGATGCTTGAATATCGTTGCTGGTTTCTCCGTTTAATTTGTCTTGTTTTTGCTTGTGTTGATTAGGGTTTATCTAATCGTTTTGATTCATTTATATGCTCTGATTCGTTTTTAAAACTTCTATATTTTCTTCTCTGTTTAGTTTTTGCTTGAAGATCTTATCAGTTTCATTTTAGTTTTGATATTTTCTGTTTCTAGATTACAAATGCTTTTTTTAAATGTTCTTTCACTTTTAGGTCCGAAGAAGCATAAGAAGTTCAGATTATCTCATGAAAGGTCAGTCTCTATATTCTTTACAAAGTTATATATATTCTTTATCTTTGAAAAATTGTTTTTGAGTACCTACTTGGTTGTTCATGAATGCTTTGATACAAACTTTGTGTTCCAGCAGTGTCTTGGTTGTTCCCACTGTTGTATATATCATGTATTTTCTGATCTTGATATATATATATATATATATATATATATATATCCTTTATTTGCTGATCTTGGTTGTTCTCACTGGTGCAGTACAATGCAAGCAAGGAATCATGAAAACCAAGCACGAAGATACCTTGTTTCCGGACTCCCTGCAAATGGAATCAAACCGCAGCTGCACCAACAGCCAACACAAGAAGAAGATTATAATCAAGGAAGTGATGTGGAGGAGATCACACGGGTACAGTTCAGACGCTCCATGGGGTACTTGATACGCATTGAGGAACAGGATGAAGACATCAAACCTATGTTCCAGAGACTTTTCCGAAAACTCAACAACAACGCACGCCCAAAACGAGAACAAGGAGAATCCTTGCGACACTACAAGAAAAGATGGCATATTCCGAGAAACATTCCGACGGCCATCGAGTTCCTCGGAATATTCCGATGGAATTCCGATGAAACACAAATTTTATGTTTCCTCGGACTTCCGTCGGAATATTCCGAGGGAATTCCGAGGAACACACATTCCGTCGGGATATACCGAGGACATTCCGAGGATTTATTATAGCCGTTGACGAGCCGTTGGAAAAGTTCGAAAATTCCGAGGATTTTACATTTCCCTCGGAATTTCATCGGAATTTTCCGACAAAATTCCGAGGGATATTTATGACCGTTGTATATTCCGACGAAATTCCGATGGATATTTCTAACCGTTGTATATCCCGACGAAATTCCGACGGAATACTAAATTTTCGTCGGAATCGTCGGCAGCATTTCATCTATAAATACAAGCACCCCTCCTCTCCTTTCATTCACTCAATATTCTCATCCTCTCACTTATACACACGAATCTGGTTCACAAAAACATGTGTTCTTCAAATTATTATCGTTCGTGGATGGATCGACCTCATTTGGATCCCGACACGAAATTACTTATGGAAGAATACCTTAAAGGCATTAGGGAATTCATGGCGGTAGTTCAACGACAATCGGAAGCAAAAACAGGTATGTTAAGATGTCCTTGCTCTACTTGTAAAAATAGAAAGGTTCTAAAAGAGTGGGATGTCTGAACTCATCTATATTTGAACGGGTTTACACGAAGTTAGAAAATTTGGTATCATCACGGGGAAACTGATTATGAATATGGTAGTACTAGCGAACCCCAAACATCGGATAGGTTAGAAGAACCAATTAGAGCGGATGCAGATTTGGTGTAGGTACTGAGCAGATGGTAAATGATCATTTTAGAGGGGAGGAATTACCCAATGTAGAAGCTAGAAGATTTTTGATATGTTGGATGCAGGAAAACAACCTTTGTACCAAGGTTGTAGAGATGGTCATTCACCTTTATCATCTGCAACAAGATTGATGTGCATTAAAACCGATTATAATTTGGCCGAAGAATGTGTGGATGCGATTGCTGATTTTGTAAAGGGTATTCTACCAGAGGATAATCTAGCCCCGGGTTCATACTACGAGGTTAAGAAACTCGTTGCTGGTCTTGGTTTATCGTATCAGGTAATAGATGTATGCATCGATAACTGCATGATATATTGGAGGGCGGATGAGAACCGGGTTACATGCAAATTTTGTGGGAAGGCTCGTTATAGAGATACGAGTGGAAGACATCCAGTGCCATATAAAAAGAAGTGGTATTTGTCTCTGACGAAAATGTTGAAGAGGTTGTATCAATCTGAACGCACAGCCCAACCAATGAGATGGCATGCGGAGCATTCGACAGATGGTGAGATTAGACATCCTTCAGATGCAAAAGCATGGAAGCATTTTCAATCAACATATCCAGAATTTGCGTCAGAGAGAAGAAATGTCTATCTTGGATTATGTACGGATGGTTTCAGCCCATTTGGCAAGCATGGGAGACAATATTCGCTATGGCCAGTCATTCTTACACCATACAACTTACCGCCAAACTTGTGTTTGCGTCGAGAGTTTTTGTTTCTCTCCATTCTCGTTCCTGGGCCAGAGCATCCTAGGAGATCACTTGATGTGTTTCTTCAGCCACTAATATATGAGTTGCAACAACTATGGGCTCAAGGTGCTGAAACATACGATGTTTCGTGTAAGGAAAACTTTCAAATGCGGGCAGTACTTATGTAGACTATAAGTGATTTTCCAGCATATGGTATGTTATCTGGATGGACAAAGCATGGAAGGCTATCTTGTCCACATTGTCAAGATAACACAGATGCTTTCCAACTAAAACACGGAAGGAAAACGTGTTGGTTTGACTGTCACATGAGATTCCTACCATCTGATCATCCATATCGTAGGAGTAGGACTTTGTTTACTAAGAACAAGAGGGTGTTTGACAGTCCACCCCCAGAAATTTGTGGGGCAGATTTGTTGACACAGCTAAGAGATTTTGGTGCTTAAAGGACGCCGGACGTTGGTGGACATGTTCATTATCCAGTAGATGATGTTGGAGAAATACATAATTGGCACAAAAAGAGTATCTTCTGGGATCTGCCATATTGGAAGGATCATCTTCTGCGGTATAATTTAGATGTCATGCATATTGAGAAGAACTATTTTGACAATCTTATGAACACAATCCTTAACGTCCAAGGTAAAATGAAAGATAATTTGAAGTCAAGACCAGATTTAGTCGATATATGTGATCGTTCCGAACTTCATGTTGATGAGAATGGTAGGGGTCCTGCTCCCATATACCGACTGGGTGCAGCGGGAAAAGATGCGTTCTTTGATTGGATTACAAACGATGTGAAATTTCCCGACGGTTATGCATCCAATTTGGCTAACTGTGTAGACAGAAATGAGGGAAAGTTTATCGGCCTGAAGAGTCACGATTGCCATGTAATGATGCAGCGCCTCCTTCCGTTTGCCTTCTCGGAGTTATTACCACGAAAGATTCATGAATCAATTGGAGGGATAAGTGCTTTCTTCCGTGTTTTATGCTCAAGATTAGTGACTCTAGAAGGTATCCAAAATTTGAAGAATAACATAGCTGTGCTCCAGTGCAACCTAGAGAAGATATTTCCCCCAACATTTTTTTATGTTATGGAGCATCTTGCTATTCACTTGGCAAAAGAATTAGAACTTGGTGGTCCTATGCAGTATAGATGGATGTATCTTTACGAGCGGTATATGTATCATCTGAAGAAGGAGGTCAAAAATTTAAGTAGGGTCGAAGGTTCTATAGTCGCACAAATGATCAATGAAGAAACTTCAAACTTTGTTGAGTCTACTTTCCAGCCGAAGTGCAGACAAAAAAAAGAAGACCTGCGCGTCACGATGATAGGGGCGAAAGAGCAACATATTATGTTACGGTTCCAAACATCTTCACAGATGTTTGACGACTTAGCGGAAAACCAAAGGATCGTCGACTTACTGAGCAGGAGCATCATCATTTGCAAATATATTTGCTCACCAACTGCGAAGATATTCTGCAATATGAGAGGTACATATATATACATATATATATATATATTTATATTTATAAAAATCTTAATTAATTTCATTAATTTGATCACATATACAGGATTTTCATAGCAGAAAAGCGGTTCACTCATAGACACGCCACAGACGAGGAACTTGAAGAACTGAGGCAGAGAGAATTTGCTGGATGGATGTATTGTTATGTGAGTGCCTTAAACATTATTTTTCATCAATACATATTTATACCAATAAAGTTATATTGCTATTACATTTTTCAAATGTATAGGTGTCTGCCGGTATGGCAAGAGGTGAAACATTTGACGATTGGATACGCGAGATGGTGTGTGGGCCATAGTATATTGTGAAGTCATATCCGAGATTTTGTACTCGAGGATATGCATTTACAACTCAAAAGAGAAGACGTTCAAGTAAAACTTCTGATTTTGGTGTGTCGTCTGCATCAGGAGATGATGTGTACTATGGAAACATAAGCGAAATTTTGGAAATCAAGTATCTGGACATGGTTGGATTGCGGTGTACTGTTTTCTATTGTGATTGGTACGACAAGACTGCAGATCGAGGAGTTAGAACATATGCATTTGGTGTTACATCAGTACATTCGCGAAGAAAGCTGCAATATTATGATCCTTTCATTCTTGCTTCTCAAGCTAATCAGGTATATATATATATATATATATATATATATATATATATATATATATGTCAATTTAATCATAATGATTCATTCATAAAATATCTTTTACGTTACAGGTTTATTACATCAAGTATCCTCGGGTTAGAACATGGATGATTCATGGGTCACTGTTACATCACTTAACCCGAGGGGTCGAGTTCAGGGAAGTTCTGATCAAGACCCCCTACAACCAAGCACATCCGGCAACTTAAGTGCCTTAGAAGATTTAGCTAATGTTGACCTTGTAGTTGATTTAACCGATTTTGGAGACGAAGCTATTGTTCACCAAGAGGATGAACCTGTCATTGGAGAGTTTCACCAAGATACAGATTCGAGTTCATCAGGAGATGATTCACCAAGATATATATATATTTTTTTTAATAACACAATTTTCGAGGAATTTCCGAGGAAATATTAGGGTTTCCTCGGAAATACCGTATAAGTTTGGGGTATAGAATTTGGGGTTACAACCCTCGGAATATTCCGAGGACATTCCGAGGAATTGCCTTATTCCCTCGAAATTTCCTCGGAATATTCCGAGGAAATACCGACAGATTTGAGATTTTTGTACCGAAAACACCTTATTACGGTGTTAAAATATAACAATAGGACCTAAATAAATATTATTAATTGTTTTAAACAGATTATGATTCCAAATATTTGTTTAGATCGCATTAATGAACTTTTTCTCGATTGTATACCGATCTTCATACAACGTTAGAGAAACACTTAACACTTTAACCAACGAGAATGGTAATACTTGTAATCGATTTTGAAATTTTGTAATTTCATTTTTTATGCACATCTATGGAAAGAATCAGGAATGCTATGTTTTGAACAAGATAAAAATTGTGCAAGAAATTATTTAGGGTCTTAAAAATCAAGGTGTTGAAACCACAGACTAATATTCCTCGGAATATTCCGAGGAAATTCCGACGGACCAAATCCGACCAATAGAAAGACATTCAGAGAATATTCTTGTCTTGGAACTCGATTTTGACCAATTAATTTTAATTCTGAAGAAATTCCGACGGAACTAAAAATGGTAATCGGAATTTCCTCGGAATAGTTTCATTTAACCGGGAATTTGATCTGCCAAAATTTTCGCAAAAGTCGAATTAAGTGATTTCTGACAGAATTTTGAGGAACCTTTCCGTC